AGAGTGAAAAATTTAAGGGGGTCTGAATATTTTCCGTACCCACTGTATATATAAGAATGCATCTAAACACACTATAATAATTATAGTGGAAATTAATTACCAAAAATATGTAAAATGACTATATACGAATATATGTAAAATTACTTGAGTGATTAAAATAAATATACTAAGTATAAATAAATATACTTTTTTTTTTTTTTAGAAATATAAAGCGCTTCTATACACACTATAATAAATGTATTAGAAAATAATTACCAACAATTGTGTAAAATATATGTCAATATCCATGTGAGAGATTTTGTCTCTCTTTTTTTATGTGAGAGATTTTGTCTTTTTAGTGAGCATTGCGTTAGCAGTGCAAAAGGTTGTGGGTTCGTTTCCCGGGGAACACTCGTACTGGTAAAAAATGTATAGCCTGAATGCACTGTAAGTCGCTTTGGATAAAAGCATCTGCTAAATGCATAAATGTAAATGTAAGGATCTTGATGGGTGCGGTGTGGTGTTTCAGAGCCGGAGCGAGTGTTCGGGGCCAGTCTGACGGCGGCGCAGGTTCTGCTGCCCGGGAGTCAAGCCAGCATCAGCAGCATGCTACTGGAGGGTCACAGTCTGCTCGCCCTGTCCACCATCATGTTCAGACCGGGCGGCATGGACCAGGTCCTTCTGCTTCTGTCCTAGGGCTGGACCATTAATGCAAAAAATTCAGAACCTCGAACCGACGGAATTTTCCCATGCCGGTTATTTCGTTTTTTTTAAACCCATTTAAAAAAAAATTATAATAATGGCCCCTTTAAGACTTGCACTCTATTCATTTACTACAGTAACTGCTTGTTTGTCTTAAAAAACTTTTTAAAAAAAACTAACTAATGCTAGCTCAGGGCTCCAGACTAACATTTGAGAGTTCTGCAGATTTGGTAGCGCTGGTGGTGGTGTGCGGAAGTATTAAAATATAGATCATTTAATCATAAAATTACTATCGTTTTGCATTAATAAGTGCAGTTACTAATAATATTACATGTTCATTTATTGTTTATACAGATTTGACAGTAAAGCACTAAGCTTGAGTTGAGATGCATACAAAATTAACTTTTATTAACGACAGTAACGGGTGCAAAATCTCATTTTTATATAGAAAATGTATGTTTTCCACTCTTATTAAATGTACCATTATTCTTCTAGTATATGGAGCTGACCAACTTCAGTGATTATGTGTGATTTAGTAGCAAATCGAAGAAAAGTTTTTCAAGGCACTTTGTGACTTTTCTTACTTCATACACAAAAAAAGTGTACAACTCGGACAAAATCTGAATTCTTGATGATTTGATATTTTATAATAGTGATTTTATAATTTCTAAATATAGAGAAAAAGTAGAAATGTCTAAGAAATATTAATGTCTAACAAGCCAATAAGTGCTCCTCTGCTGCCCTCTACTGGTTATAATTGTGATTTGATGTATTTTTAAAATTTTACATAAGTGTTTGTTTACCACAAAGTATATTTTGGTCATCCCATTAAAAATAACATTCAAACTGGATCATTTTAGAGCTTTAAAGTGCTGGAAATAGTTGTGTGACATGCTTGAAAGTCATTGAAAAGTACTTGAATTTCTCTCTCAAAAGGTTGTACAAACTCTGAAATGATGTAATGCATTGGACTATTTCTACCACAACACCATGGTTACAGTTAGCGTTACTGCTTCTGGTTTCCTGACGTATGTCAGCGCTGTTTATAACAGAGAATTCTGTGCAGAACTTGATTGATTCTCACTAGATCTCGCAGCAACCTTATCATTGTGTGGCGAATTCAAACGCTTCTCACTGGATCTCGCAGCACTGTTGCATCTGTGCAGTAACAGTGTCGCAGAATCAACTTTGGCTCCCGAGTAAAGCTATTCTGAGCGCGAACAAGTTTGTTTGCGTCGCTAACTGAGACTTGTTATAGCACTTGCGTATCATTGCTCTTTTGTTGATTGTGATTGCTACAAGCTGTTGTAAATTACCCTACAAACATACACCTTTGTTTACGTTTGCCACTTTGTTGCAACCACAACTGATTCTGAGGAACTACATTGTTTGGTGGAAGAATAAAGCAATAAGCCCCAGCTAAGGGGCATTGTTAGAGTGCCTAAAACCCCCTTAGCTGTTATAAATTCACTAAACCACGGCTTCACGGGGCTTATTGCTTTAATATTATTTAAAACATTTGTTTACAGGAGATGCAAGTTTCTACTTTTCACATTGCATTTGTAAAAATAATATTCATTTGCATATTTTCTTCTTTTCACATGACGGTATCTAAAATGTATTTTGTTTGCATGAGATGCCGGTTATATTCTACTTTTGACGCTATTCATTTTTGTTTGCAAAAAAAAGAAAGATAAGAAATGCACTCTTCCGTTAGAAAAAAGTAAGTTGAGGATTTTTACAGTGCAAACCTTTCATGAACTAGGAGGACAAAAAATGTAAATAAATTAAATAATCGTTCAATAATCGTAATCGAGGTTTTGATTTTAGGTCGCATCGCCCAGCCCTATTCTGTCCCACACTAACATGAGGCCCGTGTGAAGTCTGCATGATTTCAGAAGAGCTGGCTTTATTCTTAAACAGAGTGGTTTTGTTTGTGTTGTTGGCAGGCCGTGCGCGAGGGCGAGCGCGGTCAGGACCCGCTGAGCAGAGTCGACCCGCAGCTGCTGCGGATGGCCCTCAGTGCGTATCCCAAACTCAGAGCGGCCCTGTTCCCTCAGAGCGGCCCGCGCTGCGACGTTTCCCTCTACCACCTCCTGCAGGTACTGCTGCACTTCCACCAACTCAAGCTGCATTGCTTATAGCTAGGGTTGGGTACCGTTCACTTTTTAACCGGTACGGTACTGGTATCGGTACCTGAATTTCGGATGGTAACTCTTTCGGTACTTTACTCTCTGTCTGTGTAATTACATTTATTTCAGTGAAAAAATAAGTCCAAAAGTCTAAATTTCAACATTTTGAACAATAGGGCCCTACAAACTTTTCCTTTCTTTTTTTTTCTCCCCCCAGAAATTCTTGTTTTAATTTTTCTGAAAATCAAATGAAGGCATTAAACATTTATTTTAAATCACATGAAAATTAAACCCTTTTATTTTTTTGGCAAACAAACTGAGGTTTATAATTTATAAAATAAATTATATGAATATACATATATGCATGTAAATACATGTTAATATTTTAAAATATATACATCCATGTGTGTGTATTTATATATACATAATAAATATACACCGTACACATTCATATATTATGTAAACAAAAACTTTATTTTGGATGTGATTAATCACGATTAATCGTTTGACGGCACTAATCACAATACATTTGCTTATTGTTCTGGGAATTAATATATTCAATATTCTTATTGATATATTTAAAAAATTGTATATTAAAAATTATATTATTTTTCCATGTATTATTTTAGTTTTTATTTATGTAACTTTTTTTTTATTATTTTTAATTTAAATAAATATTTTAATTAAATTTATATTGTTATTTATAAATGTTTATATAATTAGTTTTTTCCCAGATATGTTTACAAACATACATATATACATATTTATACACACAAACATGACGATTCGGTACATACTTTGGTTTTGACGTCACGGTTCGGTGTGATAGATAGTTCATAAATATATATTTTTTTATTAAACAATGTTTTACTGAACAAGTTGCTCTTTTTTTAACTAAATTAAATTATAATTAAAATTTCTTTTAAATTTTCTTTAAATCTACCTCATAAAATAAATAATAATAAAAAAATCTATAGGCCTAAAAATCTACTTCAGCTTCCGCTCTAAACTATAGGGAGCCCTTTTACGTTACTATAAGCTTACAATTAACAACAGAGACCAAACGTAAATTTAATTGCTATTTATTTTTAACTATAATAATCAGCACTCAAAAAAAAAAAAAATTGTATGCAAACATGTAAATTGCACTCTAACTTCTAAATTATAGGCTACAATTTCTATTTGTTATAATATAATCTGCAAGTTAATTTTCAAGAATTGAAACTCATATTTCATTAATTTATCTCGACCTTTATTTTTCAGTGTTGAGCTCTGAAAGTGAATTCTTTGCATACGTGGTTCATCATAATGACATCTTTCTGCTGGTAAAGTGCTCAGAAACAGTGTTATTCATTTAATTAAATGAATCGAGCCGCAAGCTGCTCTGAAGCATTTCTGCTGAGCCTGAAGTTAATGTTCATTAGTTTAAATGATCAGACAGCCGCTTGTGTTTTAATGGACACTGAAAGTCATCTGAAAGCGTATGTGAGTCCATCTGTGTGTGTGTGTGTGTGTGTGTTTACCGCCTGCAGCGTGTGTAATTCATTCTCAGCTCATTGCTTTCAGCAAGCTACACACTCCATCCTGAAATTAATGGTTTGCAGATTGTAGCAGGTATTTTTTTGGAAACAAAGATTGCTTGCATTTGGGAAGTACATCCTCTTATTGTTAGGATGTGATGGTTATGCAAGTTATTTTATATTGGTGTAATAGTATATATTTGGTTATTTTTCTGGAAATAATTAGAAATTAACGTTGTTATTAATATAAAATAAATCCATCCATCCATCCATTCATCCATCTGCATACATACTATAATAAATATAGAGGAAAGTCATAAATTCTTGAAATGAGTTTCCAGAATTTTTTTTATAGAATTAATATATATATTTATTTATTTATTTATTAAATAAAAGGAACTAAAAAAAAATTTAATTAACATCCAGTAAATTAACCAAATACGTATAGAATTAATATATGTAAAGAATTCTATACAGTTAATTAAATAAAATGTGTAAGTATTAATACATTTTAAAAAAGGTTAATAATTTATAAAGTGCATATATGTATAGTCACTATAATAAATTCACTGGAAATAATTCATTCTTGAAATTAATTTCCTGAAAATAATTAAATATTTATAGAATTAATATCTAAACGTATGTATGAACAATTTTATAAAATTAATTAAATATTTAAGCATCAATACATTTCTAGAAAATGTTAATAATTTATAGAATGTATAGATACACATAGTGAAAATTAATTTTTGAAATTAGTTTCCAGAAAAATAACCAGACGTTTATAGAATATATACATTTTATAAAATTAATATATTAAGTATTAGTAAGTATTAAAAATGTTTATACATTTTATAGTGCTTATATGCTTACATTTATTATATAAATATAGGGGAAAATAATTAATTTTAGAAATTATTTTCCAGAAAAATAACCAAATATTTATGGAATTAATATATAAAAATGTATGCAAAATATATATATAATTAATTAAATTAATTAAATATATGTAAGTATTTAAAAAGTTAATAATTTATGAAGTGCATATATGTATAGACCCTATAATAAATACAGTGGAAAATAATTAATACTTGAAATTAATTTGTAGAAAAAATAACCAAATGTTTGTAATTAATATATAAAAAATATATGTGGAAAAAAATATATAAAGTTAAATAAATATTTAAGTATCAATATTATTTTAGAAAATGTTAATGATTTATAGAAAGTATATAAATCATATAAAGTGGAAATTATTTTAAATCTACATCTAAAAATGTGTGTGTGTGTCTGTGTGTGTCTGTGTGTGTGTCAGTCTGTGTGTCGTGTCAGTCTGTGTGTCGTGTCAGTCTGTGTGTCTGTGTGTGTGTGTGTGTGTGTGTGTGTGTGTGTGTGTGTGTGTGTGTGTGTGTGTGTGTGTGTGTGTGGTTTTTTTTATATCTCCGGGTG